CGAGAGCGAGAGCGAGAGCGAGAGTGAGAGCGAGAGCGAGAGAGAGAGAGAGAGAGAGAGAGAGAGAGAGAGCGCGAGCGAGAGCGAGGGTGGGTGGGTGGGTGGGTGGGCGGGTGGGTGGGTGTGTGTTTACCTTTAGCCTGTAAACCACCCCCAGCAGATGTCGGGATGACCTGGGGTTCCAAGGGGTTCGGGAGGATTTGAGTCGAAGGCTACGCCCCAAAGTCGAGAAACACGAAACAAAAAGAAGCGCATAGAATAAAGATATGTGTATATATAGATAAATGTGGTGTGGAATATGTACGAAAAGGAAGCACAGTGAAACCCTGAAGCCCTTAACGATTCGTGGAACATGCTCTGGAACTCTAAAACAAGGCCACACCCTTTCCACATGCATCAGAAGTAACTGTTCCAGCCCAATGTCATTTGGGCACTAATGTAGGAAGATTTTTACTAAGAGGAACGGGTTTTCAATTTCAAGGCGGGAAATTAAGGTAAACAGGTAAACCCGAAGCCCACAAACTACCCAGGTGTCCTGCCCGTTTCGGAGTTGAGAGCTTTCACCTGGCTCTGAACCCAACGATTTGAAGAAGCACCCCGAAACGGTTGGCTGGAGGACCAATAGCCAGCTGAGAGCTTCTCCCGGGATTTGGCATGAGGCCCTGGAGGCTGAAAATCCCAAGTCTTTCGCCCTGAACATCCTGGTACGCACTCCATCCGTATTCTATCGGCACACCCTTAAACCCTAAACCGCAGGGTGGGACTGGGTCTCAGCTGAAAGTTGGCTGTTCTTGGGGGCTTCGACTGTACCGGGCTACAAGAGACATGGGCTTTCAGGGAGCTTTCAATAAGGGGTAATTACCCTAGGGACCTGAGCGATCCAGGTCGATGTCGGCAGGATTCTGGGACCTCTTGTAGGCCAACCTCCCCTTTTTTTTCGGCTTCGGGGGAAGTCCAAGCTCAATAGACAGCTCATGGTTGTGCGGGCTACGGTACGGGGCTTAGGCATTTTGGGCTTAGACCGGCTCTGAAAGCCAGGACTGGACTTTCAAAGGACAGCGAAGATTCTCCTGGGCCCCCAAGGCCTCACAATCCATCCCAAAGTCCTCGGCAAAAACCCGAAGGCCCTGGGCAAGATAACACCAAAACAACAATATCACCAAACATGTCAACTGCATGACAAAGTTTATAGCGGTCCTAAAAAGTATGTCCTCCGGCTTTCACTGTGTGCAGGCCTGAAATTCTGAAACCCGACCCGGAACCCCTTGAGGAAATAACTTCTGTATGGAACGCCACCCCGTGACACAGAAGCATCCCAGGTTCGTCAGCTCTGGGATCAATAACTTGTGCGTAGCCTTTCCCCAAACTTGAAGCCTACGCTGACCCTACACCCGAAGCCCACCCTCAAAGCCCCACTGCCCTGGCCGCCCCTGTCGGGTGGATAGCACAAACTGTACCATATTCTGAGTATGCATCATCTAATAACCACATACTAGCTTAAGGGAAGATTTGAAGAAGATCCATCCGACCCGCAGACCTGTTAGCCTTCTGCGCCAGACCAAGAGTTGCCGCACCTCGCAGGTTTGGGTTTCGGTGGTGCTCCAATCTCATCGCATGGGTGTTGCTGCATAGGGATACCATAAACCCTAAAATGTTTCCTGTGCTTCCCCTTACACCCAGAAGTGCATGCAAGGATTTGGAGAAGCGGCTGCAGCTCAAGACCTGAAGCCCAAACTCACGCGGCGAGCGCGAAACGACCTCATGTGGAAGCCTAAAGCTTTAGGAGCATCCCCTCATGGTCCTTCGACAAGTCCTAAGCTCTATGTTGGAACCCAGAGAACCCAACATCCCTTCATTAAGGAATATACCTTAAATTATAGGGGCCTTAATATTATGATTTAAGGTATATTCCTCAATCAAGGGGTATTGGGTTCTCTGGGAAAGCCCTTCAAACCGAAGCCGCAACTAAATCCAGACAGTCAAGAGCAACAGCACAGAAGGAAGTCAAGCAGAGCTGAAGAAAAACTGAGCTGCCAGGGTCCTAAATCTTGGAAAGCAGCATCAGCTTGGCAAAGATCAGGTTAGCCCGAGACGACAAGTGGCTGTTCAGAGGCAGTGCGTGCGGTAACTTTCAAGGTCCGACTCCCCTTTTGCAGCAGGCTTCTCTCGCCCGGAACTGCCGTCGCCGTGAAGGTCCGACTCCCCTAAACCCTAAACCCCCTTATTCCCGGACGGGTTCGGACTTTGGACTCCAAGGCCTGCGTCGGCTCTCAGCGTGAGGCTTGCAGCGGTGTGCAGGGATGCTGTACAGTCTGTTCACCAGGGAATCCCCCTCTTTCTGTGCTGATCTGGCTCAAAACCCATGTACAGGGACCATGTGGAGACACCACAGTGGACCCAGCCACGTCAGCAGGTTGGGGGATTTTCTGCGAAGCGAAACACTCTGAGCCTAGGCACCAAAGCTCTTGTGTCCCTTTGGGGCTGAGATCTCCTCCAAGGTCTTTCCTTTCGTCTCGATGGCCGTGAAGTATGCAACAACGGTGATTAGGGCTGTAATTGCAGCATAAAGGCCGAAAAGGGCGGCTTGTCCTCCCAAGACGTTGGACAAAGGCAGGAAGAGGAGGTTTACCAAGGATGCGCCTGCCCGATTCAGCAGGACACAAAGGCTCATGCCTTTGCTGCGAAGTGTTGATGGAAACAGCTCCGAAGCATAGAGCCAGCAGACCGGCCCAAATCCTATGGAGAAGAAGGCAACATAGGCGAAGGTCCCGATCACGGCTAGGACACCCATATCCAAGTCGTGGTGGGAGCCAAGGCCCACCATCACAAGACTCAGCGCCGAGCCAAAACTCCCGAAGATCAGCAAGGGACGCCTTCCCACGGAATCGAGGACGGCCATGGAAACTCCAATGAACATTACCTTCACGAGGCCCATCGTCACTGTCAGTGTAAACTGGTCTTGCTTGGTCTCTGCAACACCCGCTCGTTCATAGAGCGTGGGTGCATAAAACAGCACGCCTTCCACGCCGTTGATCTGCTGAGCAAGCGCTATGAAGAAGGCCAGCCACACCATGGAGCGGTACTGCCTCGCAGGGAAAACGACACTCTTCCAAGTGGTCGCTTCGTAGAGTTCTGCTTGCTCGATGTCCGCATTGATGCCACGCACCACTGCATCAATGTCCGCGCCCTGCGGGTGAGTCCTCCTCAAGACTGCCTTGGCCTCCTCGGTCCTGCCTTTCGTGATCAGCCACCGTGGTGACTCGGGCATGAAGGTGAGGGTAAGGACTATGAGGAGCGTCGGGAGGAAGATGCCGCAAAGGAGCATCACGCGCCAGTTCACATTCTCGGGCAAATCCTGGAACAGCCAGTTGAAGAAGAATCCGAGCACAATGCCCATGTTCGTCGACAGCTCAGCCCAGGTCGTCAACTTGCCACGGTGCTCTGCAGGTGCAGTCTCTGAAATATACATCGGATCAATTGACATGCCGATCCCCATGCTGACACCCACAAGGCAGCGGCCGACTAGAATCATCTCATAGGAGATGGACAGAGCACAAAGGGTCACGCCTGTAACTCCGACGAACTGTGTACACAGGAAGTTCCCCCTGCGCCCGAAGCGGTCTGAAACCTCGTGTGCAAGCATGGCCCCCAGCCCTGCAGTTATCGGAACAATGGAGAAAAACCATCCAATTTGGACGTCTCTGAGTTCGAAGCTCTCACGCAAGTAGAGGGCGACACCTGAACTGACTCCAATGTCGAAGCCATAATCAATGGAGTTCAAGGAGGCCGTTGCTGCAACCAAGTACATGTAGAGGGGGATGGTCGTTGAGCCCGTTGCAAACGTGGCTGCAACCTTGCTGTGCGACCCTCCATCCGTCGACCGACTCTCCTCTTTCATTTCCTGCTGCAACTTTCGAGCAATCTCCGGCGAAGGCGGGGGAGCCTGGCGCCTGGGGCCCTGAGCCAGAGGCTGAATCCGTCGGGGATGGTTCTATGACACAGAGAGCCCGGCAGCCCGGCCCCAGCCTCCCAGCCTGGAGCTTTCAGCCATCACTCCTGGCAGCGGTCACGAGACGGCTTCAAGTCTTGGGTATTTCCAGAGCAATTGCAGCAGATTCAGGCAAGGAGGACGTCCAAACAGACCAAGCATATATCAAGCTCATCTCACCGACTATCCTTTCATTATCGTGGTATTTTGATCCCATGAAAACGCTGTAGTCGTTAACGTACAAAGATGATTGCATGTACCCCAACCAGCAAAACAAGCGGCAGCACCAAGCGAGGCTCCCGTGACCTTCAACGGCACATCAACATCCGCTTTGAATGCTATTGAAACTGTTGAGACCCGTAACTTTGAGTCATATTCGTGACACCCTTTATACGGCTTCAGGCCTAACTAAGCACTCCCTGGAACGCCCCTTCGCCCAGTTGACGCACTGAAGCATTGCCCGCTTGTCCGGTACATCTTCTATGCATCAACTGCGACAACATCCCCTTTCCCTCGTCTTTCAAGGATTGCACAGCCTCCAAACCACGGTCCGGTCCCTCGCCGAATTGTGCGGCACCTGAGCACTGGTGTCTCTCTCCGTGGACGTGTGGCTTGCTTTTTGGGGGTGGGGGAGTCTGCCAAAGCCCCCGTGAAGGTGGCACAGCAGGCATAAATGCCATCACTGAAGCAGTCGCTGCCTTTAGCCAGAAGCTGCCGCAACTCCGAGCCCACTATTTGGGCCGTCCCTAGCATGATACCATCATGTCCACATCCATCACAGGACCGCAAAGCACCGCCCAAGCGCAGCTCACCTGTTTGATCCGAAACCAAAGGAGAGCATCGGTATCGGTGCTCTCGCGTTCTGCGTCAAGCACCAGCGCTTCCAAAACTCAAGCACCAGCGGTGATTCGTTGCGAGACCTGACCATAATGAAAGAGGGGAAGGAAGAGCCCTGTTATTTGTTTATAAGTTTTTGTTGAGGTTTGGGGACGGCTTCGCGCCTCAGAGCCGCCTAAGCCACACATCCTGCCGGCCGCATCGTCGTCTCGTTATCGTTATCGAAGCTCGTTATAAGACTCCCCATTGTGGGGATCGGGAAGTAGACCAGCAGTTTCCAGACCCAATAGGGCAAGGGTTGTCGCAGCACCTCCTGCAATCTCTCCCTTACATGCTCACACGAAATGCATTTCGCGCATTTCACGTCGACCCTGCCAGCAGTCACCAAAATCAGCAGGTTTGGCTGAACCGCGGCGTGTCCTTGATCGAGTGGCGAAACATGGATCTCTAAAGGCGGAGCTGTATTCAGACCGCCCGGCTGCTCTTCCTCTGCGGTCCTCTTCATGATGGCCCTGGCCTCCCAAACCATGCGGCACAAGGCCACTTCGGGGGCCAAGTAGGGATACGGCTCGCTTTCGGGGCCCGGGCCCCGGGCCACCTCTGCCCAGTGAGGGCCCAGCACTCGGGCGGCTCCCGGGGAGAACATGCGCGCCGTGTGCCCCGCGGAACGCAGCAGCGCCGTCGCGGCCCCTTCTGGCTCAAGTTGGACCTCTGCAGGGTAGAGGCTGCGCAGGTACTGCCCAGCTTTCGAATCCTGGGAGACAGAGCTCACGCGATAGAGAAGAGGCCGTGCTCCAGACTCAAGCTGGTGCTGCGCTTCCCAAAACACCCCCGTGGGCAAAAAGAGGTGGTTGCCGCGACCAGTTCCATAGACCTGCAGACCACCATACATTGTGTCGGCTCCCATGTCCTGAATGCCGACGAATGCAGAGCCGAAGCTCCATGCCAAAAAGAGCAGAAGAAAAAGGAGCTGCGTCATCAACGTAGCAGCACGGTGCTCAGTGAGCTCAATGTGATCCCCCCCTCTTCCTGCTCGAGGTCTTCGTTCGTTGCCCACATCAATGGAGCTTTCTTCACCGCCATGCCTAAACTCCGCGCAAAGGATCGTGACCATGACGCCGTAAGTCGGCATTGCGAAGTCCTGCATGTCCAGGCCAAGCGCAAGCAAGGCGAGAAGGAAAGCACCCGCAAGAGTCCGAGAAGAGATGGACGAAGAACGGGTTTGGGTAGAGTTGTTCCGTAGAGGGAGCAACCAGGCATACCAAACCGCCATCGCGCAGGAGAACCCACCGGCTCCGTTGGGCGATGGGCAAATGGCAATCAAAAGGTGGAGAGACAGGCCAACTGCAAAGATCAGTCCAGGCAACCACGCAGTGAGCGCTTGCATCTGAGGTAGTCTCAGCGCCAGCGTCAAGACCAAGACCAACACCGCCAAACCGATCTCCACCAAAAGAGTTCCAAAGATGGAGATCTTCACAAGGGAAACGTTAACCTGCCCGAAGTAGTCCAGCCAATAGAAGTACTTCGCCAGCAGCTGTGCCCAGAGCACGGGCGCACAGGAGACTCTGGGATCGAGAAACGTGGAGTTCAGCTTCCAAACGCCCGCAAAGAGGTACAGGAGCCCCAGCTGCCCGCAAAGCAGGGGCCGGGCTGCATCCAGGACGAAGGCGCATCGAGCATCGAAGGTAGAATGACGGCCGAGAACGATACCTACGGGTAGCTTAGAAGTTCTGAGTGTTCAATCCCAAAATCTCAGAGCGCTCCGCTGCAGGCTTGACTTGACAGCTTTATCGGGGCTGTGTTTAGCCGATGCCTAAGGCCAGGATCGCAGCGAGGCTCAGCTCCATGAGAGCAAAGGCATACTGGTAGTCCCAGGCGAAGGGGGCGGAATCGAGGACTCCCAGTAGGCCCAGAACCTGGGAAAGCAGCAGCAAGGGCAGGAAGATCTCCTGAAACTTCCACGTTTCCGAAGCCGCCGAAGCCTCAGCCTCCTTCCGAGCGAGCAAGGGCTCCGAAGGAGGGAGTTTTGGGCCGGGCCCTTCGGGCCCTTCCGGCTTCGCAGAGGCGAAGAAGAGCCAGAAGCTGAGGCCCAAAGCTCCGCAGAGCTCGCAGAGCGGCCTCGCAGAGAAAGAGAAGGTCCCCCGAGACTCGGAGCCCAAAACCAGCTGAAAGAGCCCGGTCTCCAGCAACTTCATCAAACCCCAAAGCCGGGCGTAGCAAAGGAGACGCCCGGCCGCCGCGCTCTGGGACCGCTCCATGGCCGAGAAAGGGTCCGACTAGTCGCCGTTTCCTGAGCTTTCCTTCTGACGCACAGATCTGCGCAGCATCTCTCTTACGCACTCTTTCAGGACACACTTTTGCCTCCTACTGCTCTCCAACCAGTAACCCCATGCCGCTCTGCTTGCAACCCTGACGGTGAGCGAACACAGCCCGCGGCTGACGCAGAAGCTGCTGCTTGCCAAGGTCGCAACCATCATCAGCATCATCATCGTCATCGTCATCTTCTTCTTCTTCGTCATCATCGTTATGTTGCAAAGAGCCGGTAAGAACCGTTGAAAATGCAAGTTGAAGTGTAACAATGCCTCACAAAGTCTGAGGCCCGAGCACACAAGTCACCTGACTCCCCGCCTGCAGCAAGTGCTTCATGCTGGCTGCTTTTTAGGGGCTCGGTCGCTATCCAGAAATGCTTCGGACTAGCCCCCGTCCTGGGTCTCCTCGGGAAATTTTCACCGGAAAGCCTGCAAGGCTTGAACCCTCCGCACTTCCGGATGTTTTGGTCGTGTGCGTAAAACTTATCACGCGACGAATTACAACTCACCTTCGGCAAAACTTGAAGTTGCAGCCGAGACTGCTTAAGTGAACTGCAGCTGTCAAAGGACAGCTGGAGTACACGGCCCATGCACACCTACAAATCACTTAAATATGCCAGAAGATCCGGCGGCTCCCCCAAAACTGCACAGGAACAGAAGAGCCCTTAAGCATAGCTACCAAAAATGGCTCAGGACGGCTCAAGCGTCAAGGCTCCTGGAAGCCTAAAGCGGTGGCTCGGTTGATCCAAGCTTCCAGCACGAAGCGGTCGATGCAGCGAAACTCCACGAGGGAAAGAACCGGGGATCTGGACTCAGCCTCAGTGCTCGTTTCTCGGTAGCTTGACTGGTACTATAGTAAGCTTGTTGCTTTTGTGCTTTTGCTGGTCAGCGTTTGGAGTCTAGAGCAGCCTGGAGACTGCTTCCGACTCGGCGAGAGCTTCAAGGCCGATCTGGGCCACGACGTCGGCTGGCCAGCCGCGGATGCCGCAGCCGAGACAAGGAAGGCACAAAGAGGAGGCGGAGAGATCGGCGGCCTTCGGTTGGAAAACTGAGGGGCCAGAGTGGGATTCGGGGAGATGATTTCTCTCAAACTTACGACTCTGTTGGCCGGGCCTTGGAGAGAAGCTCTTGGAAGCTTCGACGGAGTAATTGGGTGGCCTTCTCGAGAGTGAGCTCTTGCGGATCCAACCTCTCGCCGTTTGGTGCCGGCTTCGCCGCCGGATCCTCCGAAGCGGGGTAGCTGGGAATTGCGGTGTGGAGGAGATGTTTCACTTGCAACTGGGACCCTGTGGGCTGTGTCACCAGGACGTCACCGAAATTCAGCTGCTGCGTCTGCTGTCGGCACTCTTCTTGAAGACTCTGTCCCAAATAGCGGTGCAAGGCTGCATCTGCGCTGTACCTTCCAGCGAAGCCCCACCAATCTGCCCGCTTCACGCCCTCCAACTTCTTGGATGTGGAGGTGGCCAGGACATCCCCGGCCCAATGAAGCACGTTTCCCTGAACGAATGCAATGGATCCACCGGGTCCCCGGAAAGAGCGGCGCAAGGACGCCAGGGAGGGACAGCACTTCAAGCTCCGCGCAGCCATGGAGTTTGAGGCTTGAGGCGAGGTCTTGACTTCTTGAGCCTGCAGAGACCTGGTCTGATGCTGTCCAAACTGGGCATCGTTTAAAGTCAGCATCAGACAACATCTGAGCGAGGTTGCACGGCGGGGACTTTGCTGTTTGGCAGGCGCAAAAACATCTTCCGGCGAACTCCCAGCCAGAAACATATCAATAGTCAAAGGCAACGAAACCACGGGATGTGCAACCTTCTTTTGTGATCCTTCCTAGCATTTCCACATCGGGTCTGGGGGGAGGCACCAGATTTAGAAAATGCCCGCATCCAGGACACCTCAAGAGGAGCCTGAAGTCACCCGGTTTGTGTATCCTAGATCACATATATATATATATGCAAATACTTCGTTGTAGTATGATACATGTAGTAAAAATACATGTTGAATTATAGCCAGGGCCGCTCTGATGCCGACTTCACAGCCTGCCTCGGCTGGTCGGAATCGACTCGTCGCGTCCATGTAGGCCTTCGGGATCTGCTGGATCTCCTCGGAGCCCGGGTTTTCATGCCTCAAACTCAGGAGGCAGGAACAGCAAGCTGAAGTGGGAAGTGAGTGTATCCTGCGGCTTCGAAAGCGCGTGCTTATTTGGCCAAGCTTCCATGCCTTCTTCAAGCCACACCCGGCAGGAGGACTTGTGTAACGGGCCTCGAAACTCGACTTGTGAGACATCATCATCATGAACACGCCGAACACACACAAACTCACATGGGATTCGTTCGTGTCACCGGCCCGCCCTACAGGTTGAGCTGCGAGCTTCTTTACAGATCAGCATGGTGGAAGGTCCGTCGCCTTCGTGGTACTGATGGCACGAAATGCGGGCTGCAGCGCTGCGGGCTATGCGGCAAGTCCCTCCTTCAGCTTGTAAACGGAACCGTCCCTTCCGAATTCACCGTTGGCACAAGCCCCAACGGCAGAGTGCAAACAGGGGCCATGGTCCTTTGGAGGATGATGGCTTCGAGACTGAAGCAAAGCACATGACAGGGAAGCTCGCAGAGATGTGAAGGTTGGGAACTTGCCCATTGCACTATTGGCTGCGGTCTTGCTGTGGCTGCTTCCCTGCTTTGCTCTGTACTGCGCCGTGTCAAACGTGAGACCTAGCGGACATGAAGCCTGACCCTTCTTCTCAAAGCAGCTGGCGTACGAAGCACAGTTGAGTGGAGTGTTACGGTCATGCCGCGCATGGTCGGGCTGCCCTGCGAGGCTCGCTAGAAGAACTTTTCCGCTTTTTCTCTGAGTGTTGCATAGGCGTAGAGGCGTAGAGACCATCTCAGATGGGCTGGAGGACTTGATCGGAATGGGCGATCCAGCCGTATTTGCCAGAACGGGTCTGCACGGAGCCGAAGACCACCTTGAGCTTGGGCTCCTTCTCCTCATCCAGCAGCTCTTCTTCCTCCTTGAAGAGCTCCACGACATCCCCCTCCAGCAGCGGCTCCTTGCTCTCACTCTTCAGGTCTTTGGCTTCGAGGAGCGGAGAGCGGCGGCGAAGAGCGTAGGCGGGCAAAGGCACCGGACACAAGTGCGCCAGCGTCGCCCAGCCCTCCGAGCCATCCCGCGCTCGAACGCGAAGCCGCTCCCCCACCTGCAAGAAGAAATTGCTGCGTCTCGCGCATTTATGGGTGTAGGTTTTTGCTTCAGACATGGGCGTTTCGGGGATGGGATTTTTTGGGGGAATGTCGCGCAAGGCACCTCTTCGACCTCCTTGGGATCCGACTCAAGTGCTTCCAGGAACTGCCCGCTTTGCAGCTGGACTTTGGCATTGCCACCACTCACTTCGGCTTCCTCCGTCAGACTCTATCACTGTCAGCTGATTACTTAGCAGCGACACACTTCGAAAGACACTGAAAGCAGACATGGAAGGAACGCAGTCCTCAGTCAACGGCGTCTGCTGCATGACCTTGTAGAAGGATTTGAGCAAGCGCTCGAAGGCAGAAAGTGACAAGGTCTTAGTCTCTGCATCTTCGGGGAGTGCCCGGTGGAAGACTTTGGATGCCAGCTCAAGAGTACTCTCGGAGCTCTCGGAGTTCTTGGTCTCGGCTTCCGCTTTCGTGCAAAGCTCCAGAAAAGCTTTTTCGGTCATATCCGAGTCCTCGGAGTCGGACGTGGACTGGAAGAGCTGCTTGGCAGAGAAGCTCTGGCTCTTGGCGTAAGCTCTCAGGGCCTCAGAGAGCTTTCCTTTCGCAACTTCGATGGCGTCGTTCTCTTTCCGAGCCACCTTGGCTCGGAAGAGCTCCGTGAGCCGCTTGGCTCTCTCCAGGCGCTGCCCCGTGCGCCCCAGGCGCAATGCGAGCCTCTTCTGGTGTGGGGCCATGAGCTCCTCAAGCTCCGACGCCTGAACTTGCTTCGAGTTCACGTCCTTCCGAAAAGCCATCGGGAGCTGCTGCACTTTCTTCTGGAACTCTTCGGCCTTCTCGTGACCCTTCTGGATCAACGTCTCGCAGTGCTGGGACCGCGTCTGCATCTGGCCTGCTTTGCTACCCGTAGATGCCGTAGATGTCTCGGTGAGCAGCGGCGCCACTGCAGCTTCCACCTCCTTCAAGGTGTCTTCCAGCTCGATTCCGGCGGAGGCCTCGAGTTCCTGAACCCTCCGGCGCCACTTGCTCTGTAAGTTCCCGAACAGCTTCGCACGAGCCTCCCGAGCCAAGCGCCGCCGGCCATCCCGCTGCATCTCACGAAAGGAGCCCACGCAGCTGGACAGCAAAGAGAGGCTCTGGACGGTGCCATCCTCTTCCAGAGCAGCTCTGACGATTTCTTTCAAAGTTTTCTCCGACACTTTCGAGGAGGGCTCCGTCTGAGAGAGCAGCGCTTTCGCCAGCTGCAGCGCTTCGGCCTCCTGCAGCCGCCCGTCCCCGTCTTTGTCGAAGGAACGGAAGAGCGCCGACCGCTTCTCCTCCTCCCGCTTGAACCCCTGAGACAGGCGCAACACGAAGAGAGAGGGCCCGAAAAAGAGTCAGGGGAGAGAGACAGAGAGGGAGAGAGACGAAAGATGAACTAGAAGCCTATAAGCAACTAGGCCCTAGGCCCCTCATTTTTTGTTAACTCGATGTCTCCCTCGCCTCGCGGCGCCTCATGTCCTTCTCACAGGCCACGGTGGCCTGGACGTAGGCTTCCGAAGTCTGCTGGGCTGCTTGGAGGCGTAGGAGGTAGAGGGGAACCTTCCGCAAGACCTCCGCAGCGTCCGAGTCCTTGAGCTCTTCCCTGAGCTTGGCGTTTGCTGCTGCAAAGTTCCCGCACTCCAAGGCTGCATCCTCGACCTTCCGACCTGCAGACCGTGCGCTCTGTGCCAGCTCCGTGGCTTTCATCAAGCTCTCCACTCGGAGCTCACTGAGCATCGCGGCTGAGAAAGGCTTAAACTTCTCGACCAAACCCGGAACCAAAACCACCGCCGGAGCCACCGGAGCCACCGGAGCCGGAGCCGGAGAGGCCGAGGCCTCCGGAGCCGGAGAGGCCTCGGCCGAAGCCTCCGCTTTGGTCTCCAGGTGCTCCGCGAGGATGGCGTGCAAGTCCTTCACGGCTCCCTCTGCATCGTCCAAGCGACGAAGGAGCTCTGCCAGAAAGGCCTCATCAGGAGAGTACCAGCACGATCCAAACGTCAGTATAC